AAAAAAAAAAAGAAAACATTTTCATAAGGAAGAGTGTTTAACAAAAAAACAAGAAGAGAAAATTCAAGTATATTGACGAAGGAGGCAGAACAGAATGGAGCTAGAAAGAATAAGAGAGGAAAATAGCGCCTAAAAATAGGCATAACGTGGATATTCTTATAGAAAGTGTTGCAACAAGAACAACATCACTGCATTTAATTTTTAAGTATTCGGAGTTTTACGGGAGCTGGTTTAAACTTTGAAGCTGAAGTCGGGAATCACAGTTCTTATAGTTAGCTTAATATGTAGTCCAGACGTAGCTCTGTCATGTATGCGTATAAGATTATAATTTAACTCATAACCCTATGTTTTTGGGGCATTTGCTTTGTAAGTCAACACCAGTGCTGCCAGATCTGCTGCTCTGAGTCCGTGCATTGAGGGGAAAGTGGTGGCGCAGGGCGTTAAAAAATGCATAAAAATCCGACTCATATGTTTTGTATATACAACGACGACAGGGCATTATTTATGCACAATATAGGATATGAAATTGCATAAAAGCAAATCAAGAAAAATATAGGAAGAAAAATACAAAATTTCCGCACAATCCAAAAAAACCGGCGATCTGGGTGCGCTTGTCAACACTCTTCATGCTGGACATGAGGAAAGGGGTTTCCGCAAATAACTTCACATTTCTATTTTTCATAGGAACTGCCACCGCAGTCTTTCAGTCATATCCAGCAATGGGAGAGTAATACAATTTTTCCTAGAATTCCTTGATATTCTTATGTAAACATTTTCATAACCCTATTCATATATTTATATGTATTTTTTTTTTTGCATATGGGAAACCTTCACTTAACTTCCGCTCACTATGTAGTGAAGGGTGAATTTTTGGTCATAAACCCATTTCTTTGCGTGCCGTGGCACAGCAATCAAAATACCAACGCCGCTGCTGCAAAGAGCTTTCTTGGCCACGAAAAGTTCAGAACAGCAACAAAAAGTCTTTCGTCTTTTCCACATGTAAGTTTGGATTTGTTTGCTCACACGTCGCCGACGTCAAATATTTTTTTTATTGCTTGACCCAATTTCGCTTGCTGCCGTTTTTATTCATGCGTGTCATATGACACTTGGTATTGTTTTTATAGGCCGCTTTGGACGAAGCCGCTCGTGTTTGCTCGTTCGGCCAGTGAAGGGTAAAGTTACAAACTTCCCGCTATACTCTAAGGTGACGCCACCGAAAATGAGCGCTGTCTTCGCTTCGATGTTTGAACTCGCATGAGTTTACTTAATATGTCCCTGGCGTGTGATTTCACTTGTAGGCTTGCTGGCGTATTAAAGTGTGCTCAAAAGGGCATTGAAATGTTAAGCCCAATTGCATATGCTTATAAGTCGTGTCTACATCTTCTTATTTTCCGTTTTATGTTTTAAGTTAATGATATTTATGCCATTGATAACTTTGTGTGCTTCGTATTATGGAATGGAAATTTGTTCAGAACCTGCCGGCCAGAAACTACCCTTCACAGGTGAATTTCTATACTTATACTGATTTGGATCGGTCAGTTTGTATGGTAGTTATAAGCTATAGTGGTCCGATCTGAGCAATTTATTCGGAAATTGTACTGCGGTCATGGATAATAATCCATAGCAAATTTCTCATAAAAAAAAGTTTTCCATACAAAGACGGGATTTTGATCAAACAGTTTGTATCACAACTATATGCTATAGTGGTCTGATATCGGAGGTTCCGACAAATGAGCAGCTTCCTGGGGAGAAAAGAACTTTTTCAAAACTTCTGATTGATGTCTCAAAAACTGTAGAAATCGATTATTTAAGGTATAAAAGGAGAGCAAAATTTTGTTTACAGTAAATATAAAAAATAAGTTTTAAAACACAAGTTTGCTTGATTCCTTTTTTCATTTTCCAAATTTTTGCCGCAGCTAACTGAACTTTAAAAACCTACCCTGAAAAGTGAGATGGCAAATGTCATTGAACGGAATTCCCAGAAAATAAAATTCTAACTCAGTTTCTAAAAATCAAACGTGGTTGCGGAAAGCACAGTAGATAACTATTGGAAGGGGGTCGAGAAAAAACTGTCAGCAACCGCATTTAATTAGATTTTGCGAAATTCGCACAAAATGAGATTTTACACAAATGTGTGCAAATGCAAATGCTAGCGAATACAAATGGAACTGGGTAACGGGATGAACAGATATACAAGTAGATATTTAGGCGCATGCAGGCTTTACAGTTGTGTTGCGATAAAATAACATTACCAACAACAAATGTAAAGATATCAGAGCAATTGCAGAACCGATAATGTAATTGAGTAGCGGGAGTGCCGAAGTGCCAATGCTTTGTGCACCTGTGTTGCCACAATAAATAGCCTACAACAGCAACAACAAACGAAATAAAAATTCGGCTGTAAATATTATCTAAAGCGTCAGTACGGACAGGAGAGCGGGCATGAAGGCGGTATGAGCAGGGGTTACTGTCTAGCAAACATTCCGTGCATTCTACAATGGTCGAACGAAATGTGGTCGGTGAGCATACATTTGCACACCTCTTCACCTCAGCCTCTGTGTCCACAGACACCACGACTAGCAGTATTGTTGTTGTTTTACAAAAGCGCAAACCGAATACTGCAACGGTGCTCCGGCCTACCGGAAAACGTAAATGCCTACGCAAATTTGCGCATTTCAATTAAATTTCCGTTTTAATCACTTTTGCAGTCAGAGAGGGGGGCAACAAAACGGTAGCTAAACTTACACCACACCACACACACACTGACACGAAAAACCAGAAGCTTACATCAGAGTTCGCCCTCACGCCTGTTGCCCCCTGGAAACTATGTGAACAATCTGCAGCGCTAGAAAGCGGTCAAACAGCAACGAAGAATGTTGTGGGTGTCAGGCTTGGATGGAAGTCCTCATACACACATACTACTTCGCCCCTTCACGCCACCAGGCCCATCAACAGAACTTAGTTTATTTGGAAGCGAAACGTTGTAGCTCCGGTTGGCTGGTTTTTTGGCTTTCGAGCAGAAAATGAAATACGCCTGAAAAGCGTTCTTAAATGGTTTAGAAGTGGCAAAGAGGACGCATAGGCTGCTAAGAGTTGCTCGTTTGGTCTTTTTAAAGAGGACATTTTGCCTTTACCGAAGTGGTGAAACTCACGGGCGAGCGCTAGCCAGCGAGTCAGAGAGCTCGTTTATTTTTATGCGTGAGTAATCAAGCGAAATGTTGAAGGGGTCATTTGAATTGCTGCTGTGTGGTCATAGAAAGTCAAAGCTGGTTTGCTTTGGACTTGAACGGTGAGTGGAGCGAGTGGCTCCACTTGAGCGTGCATGAGAAAGTGTAAATAATCCTATGTTTTCTTTCAATTTAATTGCGCAAAATCATGCAGATCAGTCAACTGCGTATAACAGTAAATATAAAATTAGAATAGAAATAAATAAATAAATTTTGCATATATATACATATTTTGGGTAAATATTGTTTTTCATATTTAACCAACATTGGAAAAAGTTTTTAACTTCCGAAATACCTTTGAAACCTCAAGCTACCGAGCAGATATAATGCACTTAGTCCAGTCGAATACGCTGAAATAAAATCATAGAAAAATTGCTCGCATAATCTAAAAACATTAATTTATACAATCATTATTTTATATAGTATTTACAGTTAGGAGAGAGCCCCACCTGCCGCTTATTAAAAAAAACTTTGTTTTGCATACGCGCTGAATCGTGGTAAAATTATTTTATGGTGCCGTGAATAGCTGCTTCAACAAGGTCATACGTTTCAAGGCATTGCTTAGCTTTGCTCGATAAAAGTTTGCAACAAAAATTAACAAAGTTGAATAAAAAAAGAAAAAACGTTAACTTCGGTTGCACCGAGGCCTCTGATAATACCCTTCACAAATAAAAATGTTTTCTATACAAAAACTGGATTTGGATCCGTCAGATGGATGGCAACTAAATGATATCCGATCAGAATATTTTAATTGAAGATTGTAGCGTTGCCTTGGACAATAATTTTTGCCAAATTTCGTGAAGATATCTTCTTAAATCAATGAGTTTTCCATATAATAACTTGATTTAGTTAAGTCAGTTTGTAATGCAGCTTTATGCTATAGTGGTCCGATCTTAACAATTTATTCGGATATTATAGCGCTGGCTTCGAATATAAACTGTGCCGAATTTCGTGAAGATATCTTGTCAACTAAAAAAGTTTTCCCTACATGAACTTGATTTGTATGGGTCAGTTTGTATGCCAGCTATATGCTATAGTGGTCCGATATCGGCGGTTCCGACAAATGAGCAGCTTTTTGGTGAGAAAGCGACGTTTGCGAAATTTCAGATCGATATCTCAAAACCTGGGGTACATGTTCGCCTATATACTGGCAGACGGATATACAGAAGGACATAGCTAAATCGACTCAGCTCACGCTGATCAATTACGAGGTTATGTACATATATGTATTTATATACTTTATAGGTTCTCCTACCTTTATTTCTCGGTGTTACAAGCATCATGGCAAACTTAATATACCCGTACTTACAGGGTATAAATATAATATATAAATAATATTTATACCTTATGATTTTATTAACGAACAGGAGAACAATAATTTTTAAACCAAAACCAAAACATCTAATACCATAAACATAACAACAATATTCGCAGCTGCTAAAGTTTTTTTCGGTTTTATTCCCCGTGAATTGCATTTTCTCTGCCAGTTTGTGCTCAAAAGTGCGGAAAATCCACAAATATTTATATGAAAATATTTTTCTTCCTCTTGGCGCCATTTGCATGCCTTCAAGCAGAAAAACTTCAAAGCTTATAAATTATGATTAGAACAAGGTTGTATGCATGTACATAGTGGTTAGGAAATTGAATACTTATGAAACATGCAGTTGTTATATAAACAAAAAATTTAGTAAAAAAAAGTGGAACTATATCGAAATAGGAATGTTTAATGATATAATATATTACTACTATACTATTTAATACATTTAAAATTTCATCACTATGATAACGAGCTCCTCAATACATGCGGCTCAAGTTTCAGGTATTCACTTGTACAGGCCTTGAAAAATAGCGGCTTTGTTAGTTTCCATTTAATATATACATGCTTTCTTCCAGAAAAAAATCTGAAACAGTCAAATAAACCATATAATAATCTAAAGACAACTTTTTATTAACCCATTTCTTACGCCAGACTCTTTTCATAATCAAATTATCGAACACAATACGTGTGTGGCTCGATAATAAATGTTTAGAATTTCTAGTAACCCCTTAATGCGAATGCCAAAGAAGGGTATATCAAGTACTTCAGAGGTTCAATTTGCATATCATTTAATCCGTCGACTTCTTAATAGGGATACTATTGAAAAGCATGTATTCATATTTTAAATTTACTGCCACCAGTTTTAGAGAATTTGCTCACTCTTTTGGTTTTAAAGTGCTCAACATGTGATTGGTTTATTACTTTAAGGGCTAATATCCACTTGCAAGTTAGAAAAACGCGTTTTTCGAGAATTTGTTTTTTTCTGAAAAAACATTTTATTTAATAAATAATTAGTAATAATGTACATTTACAGAATTTATCGTACTTTAATAACCGGTGATTCATTTTAAAATAAATTTTGGATACCCCTGATCTATTTGCCGATCGCCAGGAAGTCCTCCGAAACAAGGTATCTGGCGCTTAGGCAGATTTTCTGCCTAAACTTAACACAACTGCAAAAACCGAAAAATTATTATTACAATAGATGAGTACAGGAGCTAATGATTGATGGACTAGTCAAAATTTTTTTTACAAAATAGAGACTTTTCAGAAACAAGTAATTTTTGGTGAAAAAATTTACACTTCACAGTGGCTTTTTTAAGATAGATTTTTTAGTCTAAATACTATCACAAATCTTATTCCTACGATCATTATCTGACAAATGTGTATATTCAAGAAGGTCGTGTAAAAATTTCAAGTCGATCAGCCTTTTGGGAGGCATCTTCCTCACCGACTCTATAAACAGTCAACTCCACTTGTCCGAAATTTGGGTTCCCGGCCACAGAAACATTTTCCGCAACGAAACAGCAGACAAGTTGACCAAGTCAAAAGTCTCTCTAGTGGAATCCATGGCAGAGAGTTTGGCCAAGTCAGGAGCCTCTCTAGACGAATTCAAGGTATAAATAACACCGTGCCAGCTAGAAAAAAACAAGAGGGAGCTCAATACACAATTTTAACAAATAGCTCAGAAAAGATGGAAATCTACAACCAAATGCAAGATAGCAAAGCAGATATGGACAAAATATGACAAGACAAGAATTGCGGACTTATAACAATAATTGCCAAACTCGAAGAGAATGAGGAAGCGGTTCTACACCTTCTCTGTGAGCGCCAAGCTCTATCACAAACCTGACTAAGAACTCTTAGAATCCAGCAGGCACCAAAGCTTGGATATGTATCTACAAAAAACATAATGATGAAACGATATAACAAGAGTTAAATGTTCCACGGTAGTCTTTCAAAATGGCGCATCTAGCGCTTTAAAGTTTTGAGAGCCAATTACCTTAAGTTAAAAACGCGTATATCTTCAAAACTATTTGCCGTATTAACTTCAAAATTTCAGAAAATATTGGCAGCATACATATACTGTACATTCGATATGTAAGCAAAAAAAAATTTTATATGTTGAAATTCATAAGTAGATATAACATCTTAATAAAGATCAATGGTGTAAGGAAGCACTAAATTTTTGCCAACTACAAAACAAAAAACTGTTGTTGTACTGAGAGCATTTGCTGTGAGCTAATTATCCTACTTGCTGCTATTCTTCTTCCACAAATATGTCGAAAATGGCTGAAATTTATAGGTTACATTTCTACCATTGCTAATGGTAAAGAATTACACCTGTAAATATATACGATTCAGAGAAGAGAGAAGCCCGATGAAAATAGTGAAGCCAACATTACGAATTACGAGTGCTAAGAGCTAATCCAGTACCAGTGAATCCCATTAATCCCGGCACTATGTGTCTGTATGTACTTGTATGTAAAAGCAACAACTTTATAAAGTACAAGATTTCGAAAGCAGGGCGTGGATTAAGATTATCTTAGTGGCAAAAGGTGATTAAAAGCCAACAAATACATTCCGAACTTAATGTGTACATACATACCATATGTATCTATGTATGTAAATCAGCATTTAGCTAGTATATATCTACGTAAATATATTGTATGCGCAGGTGGTGGTGTGTTTTGTGCAACTACCACAAGTGCCCTGTGGAAGTTGTAAGTTCGAAATGAGGTCAAATTACGTTTTAATGGATTTCCAAGTGTGCATAACTAGTAGACCAAAAGCACTCACAAAAGCTCACATCAGCGCACTTACTAAAAAAATATATAAAGTATATAGAAGTGTATATCGATTTACATAGTTTTCCAGTATATAATGCAAGACTAACTTTATTGCGAACACAACGAAAGTTAAAGCGCCTAGAAGTATACTAAGACATATTAAAGGCCGACCGACCGTTTTCACCCTATTTTAACCTATATGTACAATAAATTCCTTAATTACTGCTGTGAATTTGTATTTTCTCTTTTTTATACACTATCCTAACATAATCGCCTTCAAATAATATTAGAGTAGGCTGGATAATTAATCGCAACTGCACGTGTTCTACGACGGTTCTACTAGCAAGGATTCTTCATGCGAATAAGCGATAGCATTGTCATTTCTTACACATTTTTTCCTTCTTTGGTAAAAACATGTTTTCCTCCTACCCTTCCTATATACTACATATGTATGTTGCACGTATCAACATGCTTGTAAATGGTCGCAACACTGTTAATCGCTTTGAAATGCGCTCGTGGAATATTAACACTCCGAACAAGCGGATCCAAGAGTACGTGGTGTTGGCTTTAATGACTTCACCGCTTTGTTGTAAACACAGTTTAAATATTTTCAGCATCGCGTGGCCTATGCGCACAATTGCAACAACTACATATATTTATATTCATACAGAAACAACAAGTTTCTGCCTCAATTATATAATGCTTCAAACGGCGCTACACCATATTGCTGCACCATAGGTGGGCCATTTGGCCGCTTAGCAACTATGCCCCCGTCTCTTGGTATTGCTTTGCGCTCTGCATCGCTGTATTTCTTCCCTCAGCAGTGCAGTTATTCACAGTGTTTAACCGTTGCTTAAATAGAAGGTTTGTCGTGTTAACACTATTCTCCCTCTGTGCTCAGATTTAAGTAATTGCGAGTAACCAACTATTGGTAATGGTAAATGAAGCAAGTACGGGAGAGCTGAGTTCAGGTGTAATGGAATATTTTCTACTCTCACAGTTTACAAAGCGTAAAGTCAATACACTCAGGTGGTGCAAAACTTTATATTAAACTAGGAATGCTGTCTTCACATAATATTCTTCCTGAATTTCAATACTGGACCGATATGGTCCGTTTCACAGATTTTGACTGATATATTCGGTAAAAAATCAGCCGTAAACACTGGGATCTACATATTTGGTGTCTACGTCCTTGAAAAGTTATAGTCCGGTTTCGACGATTTTTGGATGTAAAATAAAATGCCTTCAGGGTACTATTTGTGCAAAGTTTTATTCTGATAATGAAATTGTTTGATTATTTAGGTATGTACTTAAAATTAAAGAATCAGATGGAATTTAAAAATTTGTGATATGGGTAGTAGGCGTTGATCAGATGATATATTTTCACAGTATTTGATGGGAATAATTGGTTGAAATTGGTCAAGTAGTTCCTGAGATATAGGATTTCCCCTAAAAATGAGCGGCACCACGCTCATTGTCCAATTTTTTCAGTTGCTTCTTCAAAAATTTTTCACAAGCGTTAAATTTCACAACCAAGATAGTAAGATTGTGATCCCCGTACTAAATTACAGCTCAGTATTTTATTGGGCAGCTTAGTACTGACAGTATATAACGCCATATATATTAGATTTAGTTGATATAAACAACCCATAGGTGAACAAAACTATCGTATAATATCTGTTCTGTTGATCTCTGTTACAACATGTTGAGAGAGTAAAAAAACGTTAACTTCGGCTGCACCCTACACAGGTGCACTTCTTATAGCATACAAATATTTTGATCCGCCAGTTTGTATGGGAGCTATTTGCTATTGTAGTCCAATCTGAATTCTAATTACTATAGAATATAGCTGTCATACAAACTGACCCAACAAAATCCCGTCTTTGTATGGAAATCTTTTTTATTGAAGAAGATATCTTTATAGATTTGGCAAAGATTATTGTATGCTACAATCTCCGAAGATATTGTTCTCCTAATATGTATTCCAAAATGCTACCCTACTGATTATGGTCTATTAAGTCTAGTACACTGAGTTAACGTTATTACTACCCATTTTTGGGTCAAACACAAATATTAAATTGTCAGAACCAGTCATTTACGTTTTGGAGTTTGAATATTCAAAGTTTGTAATAGTACTAGAAATGATGCTTACAAAATATTATATGCCCTGAAGCTAGTGGAAATTGATGAAAAAAATATATTCGGCACTTAAAACGAAAAATAATAAAACTGTTATTGTTTCGGGGAAAAGTCGAGCACGTGCGAGCTAATCCTGCCTGTTCGCCTGTGCAAGTGACGCTAAATCGTAAGCATTTCAGCTGTAACTAAGGAAATGGACGGCTGGCGGCGGGCCGTCAATGTTATGAAATATGTTTATCGCAACTGAATGAAACAACTCATACTTACATACGGCTACCTTTTTCATACGTCACAAAGCCTTTGATGCAGCATTTTGGTAACCAAGTGCACACCACCTCCCACCCCAAAAAGAGTATTCCCGGTTGCCACCGTGCTGCACTTAGTGACAAATGGCTTTAATGGTTGTTAAAGGCGGATTTAGTTTTCCAACCCAAACCATCCGGCGGCTGCGGGCAGTGAGTGTCCTTTGCAACCACCAAACACCACCAATATCCCTAGAAATATTGTATATAAAATGTTTATTTATGCGCCGTTGTGTAAGTTTATAATTTCGGCATTGACTTGATTTAACTGCTAGATTTAAATTGCTTTTTTCTTCAAAGCATTTTTGTTTTTGAATTGGGGTGACTTTCCGTTAAAATGTACATTGCTCTTGTCCACATAATTTTGTAATGATGACAGCGAATGTGTTGTTGCTGCTGGTGGTGCTTCTGCTATTTGTCAATCGGTGCGAATTTTCGTAATTTTGTGAGTTAATGCATTTTCGAATTGCAATTTTTAGTAGAACGCAGAAAAGCGTAAAGCTAGAGGGTACTAAGCTACCCAGTAAAGGCTGCTTACCAGGGCAATCAATCTACTGTACGATGAAAATTACAGTTAATTTCTTTTGGTGGGTTTTCCGTTGGGAGTCATTTGTCATTTGGCGATTGATATTCGGTTGAAAAGATGGCAATTTCGTAATACAAAATCGTTGAAATTCTCAAAGCTTTAAACAGGTTTTTCGACGTTCTTTCGTTCTGTTTGTAACACAGTTTTTCACGCTTTCATTTAAATAATTAGTAGTGGCTTAGTGAAAGTAATAGTGCTACACAAAACCTGGGCTCGATTCCTGTTCCGATTAATATCAAAAAAATCGTAGAGAGGGCATCCTTCGTCAGACTCTTTTTTTCCGAACTGAACGATCAAAATCAAGTTCTTATATGAAAATTTTTTTTATTTGACGAGACATCTGCACGAAATTACTTTCCAAGACAACGCTTCTATATCTGAAGATATTGTTCAGATGAGGCCACTATAGCATATACTTGTAGCTACT